GGGAGTGGAGACCCTATGTCTAAAATAAAATCAACGAGGGAGTGGAGACCCTATGTTGAAAAAAAGACTAGGGAGTGGAGACCCTATGTCTAAAATAAAAATCAACTAGGGAGTGGAGACCCTATGATAGAAAAGCGACTAGGGAGTGGAGACCCTATGTTGGAAAAGCGACCAGGGACTGGAGACCCTATGTCTAAAATAAAATCAACGAGGGAGTGGAGACCCTATGTTGAAAAAGTGACTAGGGAGTGAAGACCCTATGTCTAAAAACTTCAACTAGGGAGTGGAGACCTTGTGTTGGAAAAGAAGACTAGGGAGTGGAGACCCTATGTCTAAAATAAAAATCAACTAGGGAGTGAAAACCCTATGTTGGAAAAGGAGACTAGGGAATTGGGTACCTTATGCTAAAACGAACCAAGAAGGATTTTGTTTTTTTTTTGTTTTGAGAAAAATCATGCTAATTTTTTTTTTTTGGTGAGAAAATCATTCTTTTAAACAAATTTCCCCAATGCTTATTTTCTGAGGGCGTGAACAGATTAAGACGTTTATCCTAGGAGAAAGATTCATCATACTAAGACGTTTATCCTAGGAGAAAGATTGATCAGACTAGGTATATATATATCTTAGGAGAAAGATTCATCAGACTAAGACTTTTATCCTAGGAGAAAATTCATCAGACTAGGTTTTCTTATCTTAGGAGAAACATTCATCAGACTAGGTTTTCTTATCTTCGGAGAAAAATTCATCAGACTAAGACTTCGATCCTAGGAGAAAGTTCATCAGACTAGGTCTCTTTTTTTTTTATCTTAGGAGAAAGATTTATTAGACTAAGACTTCGATCGTAGGAGAAAGTTCATCAGACTAGTTCTTTTTTGTTTTTATCTTAGGAAAAAGATTCATCAGACTAAGACGTTTATTCTAGGAGAATGATTCATCAGACTATATATATATATATATATATATATATTTGCTATCTTAGAAGAAAGATTCATCAGACTAAGATTTCTATCTTTGAAAAAAATTCATCAGACTAGGTTTTCTTATCTTAGGACAAAGACTCATCAGACTAAGACGTCTATCCTAGGAGAAAGATTAACCAGACTTTTTTTTTATCTTAGGAGAAAAATTCATCAGACTAAGATTTCTATCTTAGAAGAATGATTCATCAGACTATGTTTTTTTTGGCTATCTTAGGAGAAAGATTCATCAGACTAAGACTTTTATTGGGGGAAAAATCTATCAGACTAGGATGAATTACACTAGGAGGAAAATGCAAAGAGAAATGGCATGATTTTATGCATTCTAACAAGAAAAATAAAGGCAAAGATTTGAGAAACTTCCCTTCGGCGGCTCTTTGTTTTTTCATTTTTTCTCTTTTTTTTAAACACCTTCCCTGTACTGCTTTGGTCCTGTTTCAAATAAAGAAAATTTGTGAGTTTTAAAAGTGGTGGTCAGTTTGTGGCCTTGTATCATGGGCAACTTGGCTTTGTGATCATCCAACTTTTGGAAGACCGACTGCATTGGTAGATGGCTGCACTCCTGGGAGACTGTTGTTGCTTTCAAGGGACTTTTACATTCTGTATCAACACTGACTATTTCGCTCCCACTGTCGTTTGTGTTTGTGGCTCAATCAGCCTTATCCCAACTGAAGATCTTTGCTTAGGTGACCTTTTCTGATATTTTGAATGGCTTCTTGCTTTTTGAGCAATTTGTTTGTCAGAGAGAATCGAGAGTCCCTCATTTTATCTTTGCTTGCTTTAGCCAACTAGGCTGACAAGAGTCTTTTGGGGAGAGCCTTTGCATGAATCCCCAAGGCATGTTGACTATAACACCTGAGTGTGCTGGCCAAATTTACTTTGTGCAACTGAAAAGCTGGTAGCAGATTTTGAAATCTTTTCTTACTTGTTTTGACAAGGACTAACTTAAAGCAAAAGACATCATGATGCGATGAAACAATATTAACAAGAGATGCCCTCATCAGGAAGGAAAGAAAGAAGAGGTTTTTTTTTTTAATGTAACTAGCCTTAATGATCATGACATGCATTTTGGACTTAACGACTTGATCTATCAAACTAATCAAATCTTCCCTTTTATCATTTATATGACCTTTGAAGTCGGTCTTGTTCGTGCCAATTATTTGCATCAACTTCATGACTCACTTTTGACTAGTGGTGTCCCGAGAAATTTTTACCAACAAGTTTCTCTCATTTATTTATCTTTACTTACCGTCGTCTTACAGTGTGCGCAAGGGTTTTCACTAGTAAAACACTCTTTTTTTTTTCTTTTTCTTTTTCTTTCATTTTTTTTGGCTTTCTTTTGTGAGCAACTTGACAGTGTTCTATGTCGTGTGATAACTGTTGCTCGTTTCATGAGTCTCTTGGCATTCTTGAAGGCTGATCAGGAGGTTTTTATTTGGAAGGTTTTTGGATAGTGTTGGAAAGAATGGACGACATATGGCTCAAAGTAGACTCGAAATGGGGGGGGGGGGGGGGGGGTTGTAGACTTATAACTCTTGGAATCGACTCTTTCAAAAGTGAAATAAAATCTTTGCCCTAGTTTCAGATACTGGAATTTTGTAGAATTTTTTTCTTCTTCTTATTTAGTTGGACCGAACCGTGTAAGGCTGCCTACGTATCCTTTTATTGAAGGAATCAGGTCAAATGTAGTTCAAACCTCTGACCTAACTATTTTTTTCATCTTTCGTTCTTTTTCTTTTTCTTTCTTCTTTTTTTTTTTTTTTCAAAACAAATTTCCCCAGCTTTTATTTTCTGGGGGCATGGACCATTGACTGATTTTTTATTTTTTATTTTTTTCACTTGAACTTTCTAAGAGTTGCCCTAGTTTATACTCTTAGGGCATGGACTTTCCTATTCATTTTTTATTCCATTTTTTTTTGGACTTTTGACTCTAAACTTGATTCCAAAAGTGGGTGGTCAAAGAAAATAACACGGGCTCAAAAGGGGTAACGAAGGGTATAAAGTATTTGGATAGCAGAAAAATGGCCTCCCAACCTCGAGAACGCCAAACATAGTATCCTTTCGTGATCACAGCATTGATGAAACATGTCTGTCTTCTTGATGTGTCGTGGTCAAAAGACACTTTCCATCTATTAATGTCAAATTTTCCACCAAACTTCAATTAATTCTTCCTCAAACCCAATCTTCATAATGATTTGAAGGCACAGATCATTAACCCCACGGGTATGACTATTCTAGTTCCACATGAGTTTGAACCGAGCTTAATTCCAAAGTGTTTCAACTGTGTATTCATCCTCAAAAGTGTCTTGTTCTCAGTTAACCAGTTCAAGGCTAAATTAGTTTTCTAAGATCTGGCCAAAAATTCCGTATGCAGTCATGTCACTAAAACTAGCGGCGAATGAACTAAGCATAGAATGACACAAAAGGACAAATTATATTTTATTGAATAACGGATGGAAGGATTTGACGACAAGACAAACAAACTTGAAATCTGGGTTACAGCCCTGGATAACCCAGATAACAGAAAAGACGACAAAATAAGCTACAAAGTCTCCTCCCTGCTAAAGAGGAGTGACTTTCCAATTACCAAACGACTTCTCAGCCATGGACTTGCACATCAGCATTACTACAGCATTCAACCATTTTTATTGCTATAGATTCAGCCCTCAAATTTTGACTTTTGATCAAATCGTTCCCCATATTGCCTGTCGGATTTCGGGATTGACAGCATGGGAATTTTCACATTAACTAACTTGCCAAACGACTTGGACGAATTCTCATATCTCCCTATCATCACAGATCATCCAAGCAGAGAATGTCCTATTTCTCCAAACTGATAGAAGTCAGCCAACATTTACATCGTTTTTATCACCAACTTGTCTACTTGCCTTTTTTGTGACCTTAGTTGGATCAACAATATTGGTTCTTATTTCTTCGGTTGAGAAGGTGCTTTTATTTCTGAGGGATCCTGGATTGTTTTTATGACTCGCCATTGAAAACCAATAAACCGACCACCTTTAACTAGCTTTTATTTCAAAACAAGAAGCATGTTAGTATGAACACTCTCTTTTTTCCATTTCTTTTTTCTTTTTTTTTCTTTTGTCTCTTTTTTTTTCTTTTCTTTTTTCAAAATTATTCGATCGAACCTGATGTGGGTTGCCTACGTATTATGTGGGAATATGAATCAGATCTTTGCGTAGTTCAGGAAGATCGGGGAATAGAGTACGTAAGCTAGCTCTTTTTTTTCTTTGGAATTTTTGAAAAGAAGATTTCTTAAAAGAGAAAGAAAATACTTTTTTTTTGGATTTTGATTGATTTGTTTTTAATTTTTGGGAGAAAGACTTATAAAGAAGGAAAAATAATTTTTTTCGATTTAGATTTTTTTTAGAATTATGAAAAGAAAGACTTCTAAGAATTTTTTTTTTGAATTTCGATTTTAATTTTAATTTATATTTTTTCAGTGAAGGACTTCTAAAGAAGGAAAAAAAACATATTTTGGATTTTGATTTTATTTTATTTTTCGAATGAAAGACTTCTAAAAACGAAAGAAAATATTTTTGGTTTTAATTTTTTTTTATTTGGGATCCTAAAAATAATCCAAAATAATTTTAATTATTTTTATGAATTTTAGAAGTTTTTCATTATTTATTTTTGTATTTATTCGCATTGTTTATGCATGTTAGGAATATCGTAAATAATAAAAATCATAAAAATGTTCAAATCTTAATTTCATAGTATTTTATATTTTAAATTGCATTTTAGGATTTAATTACATTGTTAAATGCATTATATAAATATCTAAAAATCAAAAAAATACATTCTTAGGTTAGTTAATTAATTAGGTCATTAGTAAATTAGTGAGTAGAATATATATAATAGTTTAGTCACACAAATTGGATTTAATTAAAATTTAAGTCCAAAGTGACTAATTTTGCAATTCTTCCAAGCCTATCCCTTTAGAAGCCCAATTCACCCCATAGCCTGGTCCATACTCTTATCTTAAAACACCCATCTCACCGGTGCTCTTAGGGCAGACCCTAATTTCACCTCTCATTTTTTCATTCAAGAGAACGAACAGAGCCCTCCTTTCATTTTACCAAGAACCCTAGCTAGCCGCCGCCCCTCTCTTTCTTCTCTCTCACCTCACTCATCTCTCACAGAACTACAAGCTCGCCTCCACACTCTCCTCTCTCAAATACATACCCATAGACTGATGAACTTAAAAATACGGAGAGGGGCTTCAGCAAAGGATTAAGATCTGGAAATGCAGCCACCCATTTCACTCCGCTGTACTCACAAAAATTCACAAAAACGCACACAAGCACAAGCCTCTAAAATTTCGAAAAACAAAAACTAGGAACAAATTCTGGAATTCCGATATTTTCAAATGGAGGTATAAATTCTGAAGGTTCAGAAGTTCAAATCGTTGTTGGTGACTGTTGAATCCTGCTGTTCTCTGTCTAAGCCGAGCTCTTTTTGTGGATTCTAGCCTCTATCTGGTTTCCTTTTCTTCTAGCTTTAGTTCCTTGAGCAGCTTGGTATGTCTTCCTTAAACTACCTCAGATCTGTTTTGATATGGAATTTGACATGTTTTCTAGCCTATGTAGTTGTTATTCCTTGAATTTGTGACTGGTCGTCTTTATAGTAATTATTAAACATTAATTCCATGAGAAATGACGGATAGTACTTTCAGAACTATGTTGATTTTATTTGATGAATTATGTATCAAATTGTTGTTGGTGACACATTGCACACTTAACTAATTTACAATTTCTTACTTTCCATACACAGGTATCCTATATGTTTTTGCCAATGAATGTCGTGGTTATGATTTTGAACTCTTGTTTTCCTAGTTAATCAAATTGAGTTCAAGCCCCGAGGTCCATAATCTAGAGGCACAGCGGCCCAGCTCCAATTGCGTTTTACTCTTGAGTTTAAGATTAGTTAGATTAATTCGAGCAAGTTTGATTTCCAGTGCTAAGTATCTGCCAGGTTAATGTTATCAATTTTTGTGTAATAACGTAATTTTGGTTAAACAAATTTGTATTCGTTTTACGGGCCTCATCCATATTCATTAAGCCCCCACGTGAAACCGAAACGTAAAAGAAAATTAATTGGTGAATCTTCGTAGAATGCTTTAGGCGCGTCTAAATAAATCATCGTAGTCATGGGTACAGTTCCGTGGCATGGCCTCGATACGTAAATCTCAATTCGAGTGTGCGTTTCATGTGACTCGACCGGAACTTCAAATAATAATAAAATTAACTTGTTGTAAATCGCGAGTGTATTTCACGTGGTGCGATTCACAATGTGTTAAAAAACAAACGAGTGCGCGACATCGTGACTTATTCAAACAAATTCCATAAATACTAAAAGTAGTTTTAAAAGGTAAAAATGCACAATAGGTTTCAAATAGGTATTAAATCGTATAATTAGGCAAATTAACAATAGTCGAGCGACATGCTAAAACCATGGAATCAGGGAGTGCCTCACACCTTCTCCCGGATTAACAGAATTCTTTACCCGGTCTTCTGTGTTCGCAGATCATAAATAGGGGTTAATTTTCCTCTATCTGGGATTTTAAAATAAATCGGTGATTTGGGACACCATAAATTATCCCAAGTGGCGACTCCAATTAAATAAATAATCCTATTTCGAATAATGTCACTTTAATAGGAAAAACTTCCCTATCCCCCCAGGAAAAAGGAGGTGTGACTGCTCTGGCGACTCTGCTGGGGACACGAACCCAGAACTTCTGGTTCAAGGTTCAGAATTCGAGCTTAGAATGACTGTTATACTTGGCTTTTGTTTATTATTTGATTTTTTTTTACATGTTTGAGCCTAGTGTGCTAAATGTCACTTTTTACCGCTTTGATATTGCTTGAACTGTATATATAAAATTGTTACGAAACCCTTATTCTCTATGAGTATTCTAAATCTTCTGGGAAGTGCACGCTGGCATGACTTCTTTTCTGTTAGTGTCATACCCTAATTTAGAATGAGGATCGGATTAGTTACAAAGCCGGATGACCTTTTGGTTCTCGGTACGTTGCCCCCCCGGCTCGAGTTGTCCGCTCGGATAAGCCAGGTCTAGATCAACACACCTGAGGATTCAAACCTAGAATAACATGACGGATCCCTAGTAGGAATGTTTGTTTGCATCACGTGCATTTGACTTTGGGGACTCAACACGGGGTTGGGTCCGTATAGGACAGGTGTACCCAAATTAAAGACCCTCCAGATGCATTTTTACGTGTTACTTGTGCATTTATTTGTTTCGGCTTACATGTTTACTAGCTTCTAGAATATGGAAAGAAAATCAAGAAAAAATGGGGAGAGAAAATTGACGCGGTTCCTGAAAATCTCGGTATTTAAAACAAAGAAAAAAGAAAAAAAAAGATCCTTAAACTCTGCCGAATTTTTAGAAGGTTATCACAAATGAGTCCGAATTTTCAAAAAATGACATTTTTCCCCGGTCCTGAAAAACTGACTGAACTACGCGGGTCTAATTCTCACCGGATGTGAGATACCGGCCCCAATTTTTAAAAATTCAAAAATATTTTTCTTTAATTTCAATTTTTTATGTGGGGCAAAAATTAGGTGCTCACAGCCGCCACACAAGCAAGAACTTTACTACGCTCGAAAATATCAAACCTCACGAATCTATAAGGAAGGCCTGAAAATCCATAGTTAATGGCCTCTCCACAATTGGTATAAATGCCAAACTACCCATACTCTCCACCTTTATGCTCAAGGCATTAGCTACCACATTCACTTTGACCAGATGATATAATATAGTGATATCATAGTCTTTCAACAACTCCAACTATCTCGACTACCTCAAATTTAAATCCTTCAGCTTGACCAAATGTTGGAAACTCCGGTGATTAGGGTAGACCTCACATAACACACCATACAAGTGGTGCATCCAATTAATGAGCATGTGCACATTAGCTTCCAACTCCAAATCATGCAAATGATAGTTCTTCTCATGGGTCTTCAACAGACAAAACACATAGGCAATCACTCTACCATCCTGCATCAATACCGCTCCAAGTCCAATCGCGAGGCATCACAATACACAGTGAGGCCCCGAATCAATGGGCAACACCGGTACGGGAGCTGTAGTCAAAGCAATCTTGAGCTTCTGAAAGCTCTTCTTACACTCATCCGACCATTTGAAAAGAGCACCCTTCTGAGCCAGCTAGGTTAATAGAGGTGAAATGGATGAAAACCCCTCAACAAAGTGGTGATAGTGGCCTACCAAACCCAAGAAACTTAAGATCTCTATAGTTGAAGTGGGTCTACGCTAGTTTTGGTGTCACGACCCAAACTGATGGGCCACGAGGAATGCCCGAGTCCTACCTGTCGAACACCCCTAAGCATGCGTCTACGATATAAACATGAATTAAGGGTAGGTCATGAATAATATCTGTCAATAAATTGCTGAATTACGTGAATAACATACGTGAGGAAAACATGTCCAAAAAACATATATACATATATATGCGGAATACGGTAGGGCGAGCCGACAAGGCCGCTATAGACAACTATATATCCCAAAACTGGAAGCCGGCAAGGCCAAATACTATCCAACTATACATAACTTCTAGGATGGAGACCTGTCTTTGAAATTGAGGGTTAGGGTGTTGAATCTTACCTCTAGGATGAAGACTTGTCTTCGGAATATCCTTCTCCTTAACCCTTACCTAACGGTACTCGGACCTCAAGTGTATCTTCGAGAAATACTTGGCACCTTGCAACTGATCAAATAAATCATCAATACTCAGTAGTGGGTACTTATTCTTGATCGTCACCTTTTTTAACTGTCTATAATCAATACACATCTGCAAGGAACCATCTTTCTTCCTCACAAATAACACAGGTGCTCCCTACGGTAATGTACTAGGTTTGATAAAGCCTTTTTCAAGCAAGTCCCTTAGTTGTTCCTTCAACTCTCTCAGCTCTGTTGGTGCCATCCTATAGGGAGGGATAGACATTGGCTGAGTATCTGATAATAGGTCAATAGCAAACTCAATTTCTCGCTATGGCGGAAGACCCGGATATTTATCGAAAAAACCTCAGGAAACTCATTAACCACAAGGATAGATTGAATGGTTGGTGACTTTACTTTCACATCCTGTACCGGAACTAAGTGACAAATATAACCCTTTCTGATCATCTTCCTTGCCTTGAGATAAGAAATAAATCTAACTCTCGGCGATGCCGTATTACCTTTCCAATCCAAAACAGGCTCCCCTGGGAATTGGAATCAGACCATCTTTGATCTACAATCAACTATGGCATAACAAGAATCCAAGCAATCCATACCCATTATAGCATCAAATTCTACCATATCTAACTCGAATAGGTCTGCTACTGTAGATCGACTATGAACTACTACTATACAATCTCTATATACCCGCCTAGCTATCACTGAATCCCCAATAAGTGTGGACACCTCAAAAGGTTGAACCAACTCAGGCTTTATTCCAAACTTACTAGCAACCAATGGAAAAACATACGATAAGTTGGAACCTGGGTCAATCAATGCATATACATCATATGAGGAGACTAATAATATACCTGTAACAACATCAAGTGACGACTCCTCATCATATCGACCTGCTAATGCATAAATGTGGTTCTGAGGACCGCTCGAGCTAGATACTCCACCTCTACCTCTACCACAACCGATTGGTACTTGTGAACCTTGCCCAGGGGGGCGTACTAATGATGACGAATCAGCTACAGACCACGCTAGATGAACTTTGCTCGCATCACCTCTCGTCGGACAATCTCTCATAATGTGGCCTAGATAACAACAAGTATAACAAACACCCAACCACATACGACACTTCCCGGCATACTGCTTACCAAACTGAGCACATCATGGCAACGGCTGCCTCATCTGACTTGACTCACCCCTATATTGAGAACTTGAGGCCTTGAAATTCTGATTAGGCCCTAAATATGTGGAACGATCAAATCTCTTACTGACAAACTTAGGGGGTGCGCTACCCGATGGATGGGCTGGATACCTCAGGTATTGTTGTCTCTGACCACCTCGAAACTCACCAGAAGGACCCGAAGATCTGGCTCTCTTACTCTGGCCCCTATCTTGCTCACGATCAGCCCTCTGATTCTGCTTATCAGAACCGATGGGCCTCATTTGGATCTGCTCCAGTGAATACCGGAGGGTCCAAATTAATGAAATCACGAACCCTCGCACTGATGGCCCTATCTGCATGACCAATACCTACTTTCTAACGTCGAGATTGCGCGGCTACTAATCGAGTCAATAGCTGAATAGCATCTCTCATCTCCTGACCCGGTGTACCTAGCTGAGGAGCTGGAGGTACAGAGGCAGACGCTGCAGCTGGTGCCCCTCGGAGCTCCTTTGGAGCGGGCAGGATATGTGAAGTATGACATGGAATCTCAGTATGAGACTCTCCCCAAGCTCTAGTAACTCGTGGCGCTCGACTAGTAGTCTCATCGGCCACAGACTTGCCCTTCTAGGCGGCTGTAGCCTTCTTAGGCATCGCTGAAAACATAACATATCATTAGGGAAATGAATCCTTATATAGTATGATCTACGATAAGAAAGGAGGATAACATCCTATATGTCCTGTAGCATCATGTTTATAAATGTAGTGCATAATACACTCATAAACAAGACTCTACTAGACACGGTATGTAGACAACCCTAGGACAGAACTGCTATGATACCACTTTTATCACGACCCAAACCGATGGGCCATGATAAGTGCCCGAGTCCAACCTGTCGAACACCCCTAAGCATGCGTCTATGATATAAACATGAATTAAGGGTAGGTCATGAATAATATCTGTCAATAAATTGCTTATTACATGAATAAGATACGTGAGGAAAACATATCCAAAAGACATATATACATATACATACAGAATACGGTAGGGTGAGCCGACAAGGCTGCCATAGACAACTATATATCCCAAAATTGGAAGCCGACAAGGCCACATACTATCAAACTATACATAACTGTCTATAGACCTCTAATAGAATGTACAACTAT